TATAAAGTCTGAAGACTGCACAACCGATTACTTCAGTTAACTCGAACTCCTTAATGCTGCTAACTGATCTCACCGAATGGAACCGAAAGATCACAGGCTCGACATAACCCAGGTATAGTATATTTTAAAAAGTATGCCGTTTACTATGAGGTACTGATTGCATGCGTTTTTTTTGTGTCCGCATTCATTTGTATCTTTGGAAGCTTGTTCCAGGGATCGTGCCCAACCGAAACCTGCGCTAGCTTCCAGGATAATGACTCAAGTGGAAACATTCCAAACCTGATTAAATGAGAGTATCAGAGAATTTGCTTTCTTTTACAGTGCCATACAACAGTGTCATGCCCGTGCCTCAGTTACCCGACACGAGAGGAAGCCAGGCAGCCCTCAACCAACCCCCAATCCTACGAGAAATGTTCTCAGTCACCAATCTGCCATTGCGTAATACAGATTCCGAGACGAAAAATTTACTGTATATCCCCAACCGATCACCAGCAATTTTGAGGGTATGTGCAAGCCCATGCAGGTTTTCAGTGACGATTGTTTGTGAATCGCATTAAGGTCCATACCAGCTTCTAGGGGGTTTCATTGATGATCTTCACGTTACATTCGTGCGAAGGATCCACATTTACCAAGAAACTCGATATTTTTTTTCCGAAATCTGTTTTCATAAATGAGGCAGCTGTGGGCTATGGTGATAAGTGGTCTTTTCAAATCTGTCTTCCCTTGGTAGTGGTACATGTTTTAAACACTGAAGTGCTGAGGCATCATGGAAAGATTTTGACTGACTCCCACCGGGCAACCTGACCGCTACTGATGGGATTCAGTAACTACATAGGTATGAAGGAATTTATGGGAAAATACCGAAAGCTGACTTTCCGTCCAATTAAAATATCTGATAAATGTGTTCTCACCAGTTTTAAAATGTTTGTGCATCAGTTAATTGTGTGCGATTAAATCATAATTGCCAAATCATTCACAATTAAATCTGTCCTCGTTTCTACGCTCATCTATTTGGCCACCAAAGGAGATATTTCTTCTCCAGAAGATCAAAATCGTCAAGTGGCTAATCTGCGTCGCGAAGTTGCGGAACTTCGTAGCCAAACTCTGCTGTCTGAGGTATTACCCGCACTCAGAGCTACGAACAGCGGCCGTACACCCGCTCTCGAAGGTGGTTCTATACCAACAGACACGGACTCCGGGATGGAGACCTCATTGATGGATCGAAACAGTCTGCGTGGCGCGATGGATGCATTACATGTAAGCACAAAATGAGGCCGCAACATTTTCAGCAAAAAGTTCTGGTTATCCGCAGTTTGACAAGGCTGCTTTACCGTAGTTGTACTTTGGGCACCTTCATCTGCAATCCGAACATTCATCACACTTCCTTCCTATAGGCGTTTCTTGTTTTATTTAACTTCCCTATTATGTTATTCTTATCAAATCTGGTAATTTTTCCCTCGAATAGAAATATTTGATGGAGTATTTAGAATTTTTAACATTGACTGAATAGCCAGAACGATCGGAAAGTTTAATTAATGTTTATAAATTTATTGATTGCCTATTCGTGCTTCCGAGAAGAGGTACCAGATTCGGCCCTATCGGCTTGATCGCAATATTTGGTACCACGTACGTGGAAACCATATCGTGGGGATATGAACTCCATCTGACTGGAAACTCAAGGTCAGAGAACTGCGGCCTTCACTGGCCACCATGTTGCCTTTGGGATCAGATTTTGGCCAGCCAAAGGCTTCGGTTGTAAACTCCTGAAGTAATCACTAGATAGTTTAATTCTACAAACAATTAATCGATTGGTTTCCTCGCGGAAAACATATTGTGATGGAAGGCAGTACAAAGAGAGTCCTGGTTAGCGACCGAACCAAGAAGGGGCTCATTCGATCAGACGCACAGACGCAGCGGCGGGAAATGCCTCGCGAGACAATGTTGACTGCCACCCAAAACGAGCGAATCGACAATTACAGCCCGACAGACAATCCGCAACTAACGGGAAAGATACCCACCGCATGCCACAACGTCGGAGCTGTCGATCA